AAAGACATTATTATCTGTACATGAGCATAGACACGATACTCGAGTCGATAAAACGCATCGAGGCTCTCTACGATAATGTTTTATTTTAGCATTTTCAGAATATTCCCTCTTTTCGTAAAGCAGCGGGTCTTATTATTTCTGACACAACAGCCGTCGTTTGCATGGAACGTGGAATAAAAAGCTTATACCAGTGGATGACAACAGCATGCGCCTTGATGTTCAAAAAGAACGTCGTTGCTGCTGTGCACGATGCATTTCTTATTGATAACTATGAAGCATGAAAGACTATTTATAACCAGGCCTAATGAAATTGCTCTACATCGAACCGACGTCATTGACGAAGCTGTTGGATCCTAAATACGAGTCAATATCGGGAACTTTCCTTCGTATTTAGAATCTGATCATTAACACGTGTAAATTTAATTATCGTTTAATCGTGTTACAAACTCAAATAGAGTAGTCTACATGTCAAATTAATTTTTTGTGCATAAAATACAAAATATAATTTCTCATAAGAAATATTCAACAAACTAGTCAAATTGGCTATTTTTTAATCTTTTTTGAGTGCTTTCAAATATTTGTTTTATAAATATTTGAAGAAAAACTGTTTGTGGGTTATAAAATATTTATAAGAAAAGGATAATAGCGCTGATAGTATTTTAAAAAGATCACATATTTTCTATTTTAAATTTAAGTTAAACTTATTTCGGACATATTTTTTCTTTTTAAAATTTTCTATATAATTTCAATTATTTTCTGAATGTATTGATTGTTTGTTTAATTCTTGAATCTCTTTAAGCAAACATGTTCGTTTTAAATACATTAACAATAAATTGTATTCATTTTACTATATAATGAAGTGAAAAGGAAGAGAAATATAAAACGAGCTCAAATTAGGTACAAAACTGATTAATTATCCATTTAATGTAATAAATATCAGTGATGGAATATTTTAACTGAACTTATTGTTAATCATTCTCAATAAAGACTGATAATTTAATACAGGTAAACAAATTAATAAACTAAAATATTAAAAGTAAAACGGTGAAATTACAAAAATAAAAATAAAGACTGATGCTGCAACCGTTCCAACGTTTCACAACTTTTAAAGTTTTATTTAATTTTTATTAAATTAATTTATTTATTTTTACTTATACATTAGATTAGCAATTTTCTAATTACTCGATTTAAGATGATTAAATTAAATTGAAATGTTTCGTGTCACTAACACATTCATATATTACATTAAATAAATAATTATTTTTCTCTCTACTATTATATAATTTTGAGTTTGTTTAGCCTCTTTTCCTTCTCGTTTAATTATACTTTATTTTGTATGTTTTTCCACGATGCTCATGAAAATTATGGAGCGAGAGCGCAGTTTGTTTCTTCAGTGGTACGAGTCAGTAGCGCGCGACTCGCTATTCGCGGGTCGCGCACGAGCGGGATTTACTACTTATTGAGACGACGCGCCGCAACGCGGCGTAACTACTTGCTTATGGCGCGCGGCCCGTGTCCCGTATTAATGCCGCTTTACAAATCCGTTCACCGGCTTGAATGAGAGTAGATTGCGAAATTAATTAAAGATCGAGTATCTTTATGACAATGTGGAAAATTTCTTATCGCGGCGTTACGATCGACGCGGTAGCGGTGAAACGTTGTTCCACGGTGGCATTTACGGAGACTCCGAATACCAGACATTGCGTGTGCCACGGCTCGTTCAACCCCGCATTTACGACCCTTTCTCACGCTAACGAGAAAACAGTTTACACAGGCATCCTAATGAACCAATTTTCCATTTGAAATACTAACGCCTGGGATATCATGAATTTTAGCTAATTTCGGAAAAGCCTGCGGGCGTTATAACATAATATTATTCCGTTCTGGTCATCGCGCGCTTATTATTTGTGGAATAAAATTATTTCAGGCACGTATTATTGGGAATATGGTTCAGCAACTTTTTTGCTCGTACTGCCGCATAAATTCAATCGTGCTGGCGGCATGCAACGATTTCTAGTCTTCTTTTTATAGCCTTTCGTGATGGCGACGGGATAACGTTTATTCGAAGTAACTAGAGAGATCGCCATCGCCTCGTAAAGTAATCACGGATGGCGGTGTAGGCAGCTGTTATCGAAATTAGGCATCTTACAGTGAGACTAATCTGTTCTCTCTCTTCCTCTGCATTACAGTTGCGCGAAAACGAGTTTCGCGACGTGCATTCGCTCCGGAAATTCGAGGGAAACTCGACGGCATCGCTAATTAGGATCACTTAGGTTCCACGGGTGCGGGATCGACTCAACTTCCGCAAGAGGTGAGTTTAGTCTTTTTACGTTATCAAAGGGGTACCATGCTAAATGCGTTCTATGCGAAATTGTGCGATATAATTTTGTGAAAGATCTCGAAAAGTGAACCCACTGAGTATTCTAAATATTTACCCGAAGGATCTTGGACATGTAAAAGTAATAATGTCTATTCAACACATGTCATGCCGTTGTAAATCGGAGGTACGAACGCGGTTTTCCAACCTTTTGAATTCTGAATAATCGCGTTTAAAGCGAGCCGGGTTTGCAACGATTTCTCAAGACGTTGCACCCCTGGAGCGAGCAAACGCATCGTCGAAAAAGGCAGCTTGCTCGGCCACTGGTAGGGTGGAAGGAGGTAGGAGACCGGGGGGAGATCGCGGTGCTTGCACCCCTCGAGAGGGGGTGGCGAGGTGGTGGCGAGGTTCACGGTAGTCTCGCCACCGAGTGTACGTCGGCTGGCTCCGACGTCGTTCGGTTCTGACCGGCTTTATCAGCGCCGGCGCTGTCACCCCTTTGACGTAGCAAAATGGCGGCGGCGTGTCGGAGGCGTCTCCGTTCGCACAGTGCTCGACGTCGCGCAGTCCGCGTATGTTCGCAATAACGTTCCAGCAGATCAACGTCGGCGTCGCTGACAGATCGAGCGGCGTATCGCACGCGATCGCGGCACCGCGCTCCGATTACGCGCGTGAGACACAGTTCCTTCTTCCGGTAACGCTGCACGTCGTTGACGCACGTTACTACCACCCTCCACCACCCCTCGTACACAGCGGAGCGAAGTCGAGTGCACGGCGTGCGGGTTACGCGGCTGCGGTCGACACGACGTGAAGAGCAGTGAGCGAGCGGTGCCAGGAGCGAGGGGCAGGGGGGGGGAGGGAGGGTAAAGAAAAAAAAGAGAGACAACGGTATTCGCGGTACGTGAGATATTCTCAAAGGCGTTCTCGCGACGCCGCGTGCTTCTTCCGTTCTTCTTCGTCCCTTCATCCCCTTTTCCTTTTCCCTTCTCTCTCCTTCTCTCTTTCCATTGCTCCGAATTCGGTCCCGGAGAGCGCGCGGCTCCCTCCGTTTTCTTTCCATTTTTTTCCACCCGCTCCTCCGGTTTCTCTCCGTTCTCTCTCCTGTTCTCTCTTCTGACTCTCTTTGTCTCTCTCTCTGTCTGTCTTACGTGCCCGGCGCTCTTTCACGGCATCGTAGTGAAATGCGCGTGACCGGTCGCGCCTCGGAACGACGGCGACGACGTGTCTGGCGTCGTTGGTGGTACACGTTCCCCTGACGAGCACGAGAGACGCGCGACGGCGACTCGGAACATCCCCCGCAGCTCTCGCTACTATGATAATAACGAGAAGCACGGTGACGGCGGCGGCGGCGACGACAACAACGACGACGACGACGACGACGACGAAGACGACAACGACGACGACGACGACGACGGCACGGTGGCCGCTTCTCCAGAAACAAAAGACGCTTGGTCGAACTTATCACAACGTCGGTGGAAAACGGCGATCAACGACGGATCTACACAGCGACGCTGTCTCGGCGATGTTGTCTCGCAATTGCGGCCGTCGCGTGGTACACGGGAACGACAACATCAGCATCATCGAACCGCAGTGGATCAGCGATAGCTACACAGAAATCGTATCGGTGCTGTCGTACTACTATTATTGCCAGCGTCTCGCTATTATTAGCATCGTAGCCTCATTGCTCGCCGACGACGACGTTCGCGGGGACAATTTGATATCAGCAGGACTTTTGGAGCACCGGGACGACGCGGACACGGGCAACAGCACGAGCAGTGACGATCCTCGTCTTCTCAATCTCCGGAACGTATTTCTGCGTTGTTGCGCGTGACCAAGAGCCTTGCTATTACTAGCCGTAATCGACGATATACGCGCGACGGAGAGAGAGTGTAATGATGATTAACGAGGCGGCGTGCGAACGTTAATTCGCGAGCCGGCTTCTCGTAGCGCAGTAACGACCGATAGCGAGTCAATTGTTGATAATAACGCGTACAACAGTCATTCTCCGCGCCGATCGATCGTCATCGCGCGCGCCGGTATACGGCGAGAAAACAGTGTTACAGGCGAGCGCATAGGAAAACTCGTGTCACGTACGGTCATCGGCCAGTGTACACACACCGGCAGCGGAAGGGTGGGAGGGGGTGGATCAGGGTATAGGAGCGACGGGGAGAAGGAGCCAGGTATCGTCGATCCAGATAAGCCGGTGTATCGCGATAAGGTGTACGCTTTGCCGCGGCCGCGGCGGCCAACCTCTGTGTGACGAACTGTAAACAAGATTTCTATTAAAAAGGAAGAAAAGTAAGAAGAAGAGAGCACGTACGGGGTGCTCGTACTTAAATCTCGTTGGCCGACTTACTTTCAAGCTTTCGCGCGTAACCAGAGTATACGGTGCGACTATAAACACGGATTTCGCACGTAACATACTTAAGACAGACACACATACATATATATATCTATACGTGTGGATGCGACACGTTTTTCGCGTTTGTACATTGTACGTGTTAGAGACACATAGTGAAAAAAAGAGCAGGGATATAAAAAGAAAACGGAAGACAGAGAGAATAAGACAAAGAGGGGAAGAGGGAGAGAGATAGGGAGAAAGAAACAGAGAAAAAAAGAGGATTATTAGTGCAGGCGTGCAGAGGATATTAGCCTGCGTATCGTATACGAGACAGTGCATTTACACGAACCGGTGTGTTTCATCGTAAAGCAGCGTATAACTTTCATATACGGATCTCTACACGAATTGAGTGCATCGTTCGGCTGATTAGAGACAACTCGAAAGATTGAGCCGAGCAAAGGGGGATCCTCTGAACATGTCGCTGCTTAGCGTAACGGGTAAGCGTTTCTCTCATTCAATTTTCCGCCAAGACTTGTGATTTATCACAAGTCTTCCGACGAGATACAATTATCGGATTTAATTAGTGGAACATCTGCCGGTGGATTTGGAATTGTACTGTATAGCGAAGAAGCAGCCTGAGCCTTGTTAAATCCTTTTGAGTTTTCAAATTCTTTGAAAGAACTAAAATTATTATCATGATTTTTAAATTTATAGCGGCTAATTGTAAATTTTACTTCTTTTTTATTCTTTCTCCTTTTGTTTTTAAAATAATTATTTCGAGTATCCATACGGCACAGAATCTTGCAGCAATATTGCTGCAACGTTGCAACCTTTCTGCAATCTGGAAGCTTACGATGTTGCTACTACGAATACTTGAAATAATTGTTTAAAGAAAAGGAAAAATATTACCGCAATATTGCTGAAATAATCTGCGTTGTTTGCGTGTTACGCGAGTTTCTGTTTTATAGAAAAGAAAACGTTGAACGCGAGTCATTAAATTTGTGTATGTGAAAATGCAGATGCGATTGAGAATCACATCGAAATTTGTTGTTAAAAGCTCCACAATTCGGAATGGTAATATGTGCGATACAACGCCATTAAATTCTCGTGCAAAAAGCAGGCGGTTGGTTGGAAATTGTTTCGATAGTTTCGACTTCTTCACGAGGTTTTCGTCGGAGATAAAAACTCCTTTCTGTTGGAAAAGTTGAAAGAGGATTTTCCGGCCTTTCCCGGATTTGCGTGTTGCAAGCAGAAAAAAAAGAACAGCAAAAACTCTGAAACCACCACGTGGTATCAATTATTGTTTCGTCACGGGGTGGACATATGAGAGGAGTGAGTTAAGCGCGACGCGTGATGTAATTAGTACTAATGAAATCGCTAATCGCGTTAATTGGAGACACGACTCGCGATGGCATGCTGTTACGACGGGCATTAAGTATCGCGAAAAAGTTCACGTTTGCATTTCTCGCTGCGCTATTCTCAACGGACGAGGTGATGTAACTTTGTACAACTGTGTGATGCACTTCATTTTCAGCGATACCGTAGAGAAATTACAATGCTGCGGTTGGATTATAATCTAGCACGACGACGTGATACTGTTGCGCGATACGCAAATCGATCGGCTGCCTTTACCGTTATCGCACATCTTCCGTTCTCATTGTCTCGCACGTATCGTGCTCGATTATCGACTTAGAAACGTGATTTATACAGCGTCTTGCTTCTCGCGGATACACAATACATACATACATACATACACGTCGCTGAATACGGACGTAACGTACGTAGAATCGATATCGAAACGTCATGCGATAGCACGTAACTGTATAACTTGATTTTATGATGGATGCAGGACTGTTGTATCCATCATAACTTAATACCGTCACGGATATATCTACTGTGCTAGGTGGAAAATATAGGCGCGGCCGGCCAAGAAATATAATCGCGCATAAAGCGATTTCGAAAGCGGAAGCTCACTGTTCCGCAAGCAGCTGCGCGCGCGATACTGAAATCTGACTTGACGTTGCGAAATAATCCAGTGCTCCGTGGAAGAATTTCGCCGGATAGAAGATACGTATATATACAAATTTTGTGCACTTTTATGTGTAGCGTCCTCGTGCATCTTGTGAAAGTATACGGAAATAGCTACACATTGAAATTATTAATGTCGTCTAGTGAATTGATTTCGCGAATGGCTCATAATTTCGATATACAGTGTTTTACACGTTATTCGTTATACCTGAGATTAAACGATTAGCAATGTCGACAATTGTTAGTATAGGATTTTGTTGTGTATCTAATTATTAATAACCGCGTTTTACAGAATATCGATACTTCGTTAAATGGATATGTTGTGTTAGATATACACTCTCAAATTTTCTCTCGCTCGCTATACTTTTCCAGCAGGTTTAAAACTCGATAGGCAAAATAGTATCGCGTTATTTTACGACGTATCTTCCCCAGTGTTACATGCCACGGCCTTTAACATGCATTGTTCACGCGTGTATATCTAGATGAAAATATCTCTTCTCTCGAGAGTTTCTACTTTCTCCCACGTATTTCGCATAGACGAGTGTTGTTGAGGTGAGATAGCTGCGACATCGTCTAGGAAACTATTCGAGAGAGGTGGAGGACCCATGGAGAGATATATCGTTTGACAATAACGAGAAATAATGCTCGGCGTCGCCGTCTCGCCAGCCTCATCCCGCGTGTATTCATAAATATCGGGTCGACGGCAGTGCGCAGTATACCTGCGCCGCATATACTATGACACGACAGTAAGGCGAGTAAGAACAGCCACCTGACTCAGGTGTGCTCAGGTGGCTTCTTTCAGGCCTGTGCATATACACGACACACCTAACCTGTATATCACAGAGAGCGTGCGAGCGAACGAGGCTCGTCCATGACTATGAGACACGGAGAGTATAGTGCAACGGTTGACCCCGGGTACGCGGGGTCATTCCCTCCTTCAGCTACCGCCGCTTCAACCCCACTCGCCGCCGCCCGCCACTACCACCCCCTACCGCGGCTCTTTTTTGCCACCCTCCTCCCGCCTCACCTCTCTGATACCCCACCGCCGCCCTTTTCGTCCTCTGCCTTCGTCTTCCTAACCGCGACCTGCTCCTATCGCAACCACCTCCGCGATTCACCTCCTCTCTCTCTCTCTCTCTCTCTCTCTCTCTCTCTTACCCTGCTTGTCGGGTAAACGTCGAGCAGCGATGTATCTACCAGGTGGTACGACCTATGTAAACCCTCTTGGTATATAATACTACCCGGCCGAGCCAGCTTGGATTTTCCCTCTGTCCGTGAGTCAAGAGACGAAGTTAAGCACGGAAAATCGGTGTTATACATCGCAGCGATTGTTGTTCGCCGGGTCTTTTCGTGCTTCTCGCGCGTTCCGAAGACGAGAGGATTACGAAGAGCGACGTATCGTTGGGAAAAGGCAGCAATTTGCGTGCGGAAACAGCGATCGGACTTAAATCGCCGCTGGCTGTGATTAAAGCGAGCTTGCGCACACGGTCGATTTATCTCTCCTTAGTCTTAGATTTAGATTCTCAGCAGTTTGATTAAAACGATTCGTTCGTTCCGGAGTTATCTTTGTAGGATAAACAGTCTTGGAGGGGATATTCTAAAAGTATCCGAGACGTGGACGCTTTTAAAATATTTGAACAATGATTTAAAAAGGATATGTTTCAGCCATGTACGAAAGGGATGTAAATTTTCTTCAGAGAGAAAAATTCGCCGACATTTACTTAAGAAAAAGTACTATCGTAAGAACGACAACGATAGCATCAGAGAAGCGATAGCGTAAAGACGAGAGGAAGCAAGTCCGCGAGGAGCAAGAAGTGATTGAGGAGTGCTGTCACATGAAAAAGAAACTCTTTCACTCTTCAAGCTCAATCCACTCAAGCTCCTTTTTATACTCTCTCTTATAATCATCTTACTACCACCCGTAAACAGTCCGTCTCGACGACACTTTTTTTTTTAAGTGCTTTTTCGAAAGCTTGATTTTTTTCAACGAATCGTCTGAATTCCGTCCCATACCTCTCGGGATGTCCAAAAAAAGCACGGGGGAGAAAGGAAAAAGTTCGAATGGTCTCGTTTGCAATGATAAGTGCGATTCGTGTTGTCACAAGCATTGTAAAAAGCTTAGCTAAAATTGGAGAGGATTTTCTTTAGCGTGATTTTTTCAACGTACTTTCGGCGTGGCACAGCATTATTGTCGTTATAAATCTCCTCGTAATATTTCCTCTCTTCAGCGGAAGCACAACAGTTTCAATGGCGACGTATCTGGCAGAGACCTACTTTCTTTCTATCGTTTCTACGTCGCTCGCTCGAGTAGGGCCGCATATTTACGCGCTATACGTTTCATCACGCCAGAAATGTGTCATCGTTAATGGAGATGAAATGCTCGCAATAACGATGACAATGCGTTTTATTTGCATTATCACGCGAACCTTTATTTTCGCGTGTTGTCGCGCGAAATTGTACACGACGTACCACTGATTGGGCCAGCATGTTGCAGAAATACGAAAAATCTAAAAGGAGTTTTGGCACGTATCACATTTCACACAAAGCTGTCTCTTTAAGTCTATTTTACAGCAATCGTGTTTTTAGAATTATGCGACTGTTTCAGTTCGCGGAATAACAAAAATGATTTTATTCATATAATGTTTAATAATTGAAAAAAATAATTCTTCATAATACACAACTCTTTCTCAGAATTCCCGAAAAACAATATAATTAAAATATTTTATGTGAAACACTTAACGTCTTTTTCTATAAATAACTAAAGTTCCATGTCATCTTACGTAAAAGTTATCAATTTGAGGATATAGATAAAAATTTATAAATAGCAGTATATACCTTTTATGTATATATACGGAAAAATATATAGTTGCTTTAGGATAAAAATGTTCACTGAACGAAAATTCCCGTGAAATGCTGATTTTCGCGAAAACGGTGATGCAAAATGACTCCCCGCGTTACGTTGCATTACCTCGTTCCTTCGATTTCCTTGAATGAGGAAATTCGGTGGTCGATTTGCGGTAGTCTGGCGCACTTTAAGCCGTGCACGTGTGCGCACACTCATACAGACGAACGCGCGGGAGGGTTTCTTCAGGAAAAGGAAGAAGGAGCGTTATCTCTCAGGCACGGAAACTACCCTCGCAAACCATTCGTAAACGAAAGTTGATCTTATCCACCTTTGGAAACGAGATCTTCTGAGCTTTTCCTTGGGGCTGGCACCTCTTAAAACACGCTCGTTTCACTAGTTTATCACAAAATACGAATTTTTGTAAATAACGACTGCAATAATCTATCTTTTTTCCGTATAAGTACTGAAAGTTGATATGCAACAAGAAAATGATATTTTAATATTCTGCAGACACAGTAGTTCTGAAGTTACATGCGCGACATATTTTATATATAAATTACGAGGTGGATGTTGGTATCAGTTTGAACAGTTTACAAGCGAAATAGAATACACGGCATAAGAAAA